ATTCTGACCAAATTTTAATTTTAACAGAGGTCCCGATGACGCGGGACCTCTGTTAAAATTAAAATTTGGTCAGAATTTTTTTGACCGTGACTGAGAATTGCCCTTTAGTATTAAAGGGACAACAACGTTGTTGTTGATGTTGTTGTTAATTATCTATAAGATTACTACAGATTACTATAATTGAGCTGCAAATAATTCAGATTATTTAGCAAAAAAAGTTTTATTTTGGTCATTCAGCAAAAATTGATAGTTTATTTTGGTTATTTGGCAAAAATGATAGTTTATTTTGGTTATTAGTCAAAAAGTAATATGTATATGCATAGCTTATTTCATTTTATCTAGATATACTGTATATATATATGTATATATTTTACAGACATATCTAGAATGCTGTATAATATACTTTGCTATATATTTTTAAATAAATTTTGAAAAAAATTAAAGTATTTAAGTAGTTTCTTATATTTTAAAATTCTCTAAAGATATTAAAGTACTTAAACTTATCTTTCATGTTTTAAAATTTACTAGATAGATTAATGAGTTAAAAATAGTAACTTGTTTTACCCTATAAAAAATTTTTAACAGACAGATTCTGATTTTGTCCCAAACAGGTTAAATTATTCCTAAAAATATCTTGAACTAAAATTTATATAAACTAAATCAAAAAACTTAATATTGAATTTGCTTCAGAAATATTCCTAAATTTTTTTTAAATTAATTATGACCCAGAAATGATTAGGATTTAAAATTCATAGAAAACTAAATTTTTGAGAATTTCAGTAAGATTTTCCAATTTTTAACTTTATGATATGGCATTAGTTATTGAATATGTTTTATAGAAAGTTGTTAAAAAATGTATTCAAGTTTTGTTACACATAAAGCTAAAGCTATTTAAATTTTTTGTTTAAGAATTTTAGAGATACTCATATTACGGTCGACTCTCTATAAGTGTATATCATTTGATCAGTCTAAACAATATTGATATGTGGCTAAAATTAAATCATTTTCCAAAATGCATACAGGCAGATTATTCTCAAGACTGCAAAGATATTGATTTATTAATTAACAAAATGAATTATCTAATTTTAAAATCTATACTTGACTACAATAAATTGCAATATAAACTTTAAAATGCTTTAAGCTTATCTAAATGTAACCTGATTTTCTCTATCTATTATAATATACTTATTTGCTGCAAGTTTAAGAAATCCTACACAACGATCAATAGTAGTTACATTAATAATTCCTGTTTCACCAAGGTTTTGAAAATATAGAATATTATTTCTATAAGTTTCCAGGCTTTTTACCTATTGCATATATGCAAGCATGAAAATTTCATTGTCATATTTATGGGTAAAATAAAATAAAACTTGCCTATAAAACACATGTTCTTCAAATTCGATAGGTGCTTTTGGATGATGTGCATTTTTGTCTACTAAAAGCTTTGTCTAAATATGTAATTTAGCATTTAGAATATTGATATTAATATATAAAAGTAGTTAGTATTTAGAATATTGTAATTATAACAAACTTACCAAAATTGAATAATTATTTCGTGAAATGTCCTCTTTGCGATTAGCATATTGTGAACCAATTACTATCCTATATTTAGTTCTAAGTTTATCATATTTCTGGATTTTGTTATTTGTTATCTGGATTTTTTATTTGATATTAGTCTTTATCCTAAATATACCATAGATTTTAAATATATATTTATCTTAATATAGCTAAATTGAATGTGGTTGCATAGTATTGCTTGATTTTTTGTGTTTTAGTTTATATCATCACATGTTCTTTATACAATGAATATAATTTTTCATTGTTAATTGGAGAGCTAAAAATATGCTTTAGTGACCAAGTCCGAGGCTCTTCTGAAAAGATCTCAAAAATCTTCTGATTATATTTAGCATAATATTGCAAGTGTGGAAATCGTGTCCACATTGTTACTTGGTTTATTAAATTTACATACGGATTTTGCTAAGAGCGAACTAGAGGAATTAATATTCCACATAACCATTCTATTAGAAATTGCCATGTTGCCCATGGTGGGCCTGTTTTAAAAATTGATTCTGCGATATATAGAAGGTAATGAAAACTGATATGTATTGATTGAAGATGTTCGGGATCTTTTTAGTAATATTCTCTATATCATAATTAAATTTTAAAATCTAATAAATTATTAATTGAATTTGTTAGGGACGTGACAAAAATCAGGTGATTTTTTAGGAGGAGGGGTAAAAAAAGTTAAAATTATATATAGGAACCTGATTTTTTTTATATTAAGAGAGAGGAGGGGGTTGCCCATGATAAAAAATAATTAAGTGATAAATAACACTGCCCTTACCATTTAAATGAAAATTTTTTAATTAGAATCCTAAAAAAATAGTATTTACTCCTTGTTGTATTAAAGCCAATCTTGAAAGCTTTCTCAATTGGCTTTAATATAACAAAAGAAACTCTCACGTAATAATTGTAAAAATCTATCATAATTAATATACAAGTTTTTTCAATTATATATAATTGATTGATTTTTAATATAATGAATCAAATAAAACTAAATAAGAAAATATTAAAACGAATTTATGAAAACTAAGTATTTTGACTAGTTATGAAGTGCACCATTTACTATTTATTTTGATATTCTTATTGTAAAATTATATAGATAGTGTCAAACCTGTCTCCCTGTGAAAAGATGGGTTCGATGTTATCTACATGATTTTATAACAAAAAATATTAGTAAATTTAATTTCATAAATTTACAGTGCTTATACAAATACTATCCTATATAATACATTATGCAATTACTATTTATAGTAATTTATAAAATTAATAAATAACTTTTTTATTTTTTTAAGTTCTTCTTTGCAAATTATTGGTTCAAGACATAATTGGACTGCTTTAACAAACTTCGCCTATCTGTTTATATGTCTGTGATTAAAAAATAAAATAATAAAATACAAATTTATATAAATAAAATAGTGATATTAAGATAATTAGATACCTTGTTGAAAGATGCTCCTAAAAAGTGGAAGAGAATATAAAACTGTCCAATTATACTAATCTTCTGCCTTTAAAGCATTATAATATTTCTGAATATTAATCAGAATTCTTCCAAACTCTAATAGTATTGTCTTACGGTTAAGTTCAATTATTCTCTAAATTTCATTTTACTAATTTGCAAAAATTTTGTATTCTGCGTTGTTAAGTTTTTCATTGTTAAAAAATTTACTAGCAAAATAACGAAACATATGCTGCATAGTATTTTCAAAAAAAGCATGTATAATATCTACTAGAAATGATGCTAGAAAGCTAATTGAGCGTAATTCAAATAAAATACTACACCTATTTACACCTGTTTCATATTCTATTTTATGTTACTCATTTTTACTTTTATTTTCTAATGCTTTAATATATCAAAGATAACTTGTGTGAGAATGTATTAGCAATTTGTTTGGATCATATATTATACCATTGTATCCTTTGGGTGATAAAAGTAGAAAATATACATGCTAGGCTATTTCAGAATATACTCCACAAATATGACAAAAGTGGTATCTGCTATAAGTATTGTGGCCAGAAACACACAAAACCTTGGACAAAGCTAGAATATCTCCAGACCACGATAATATATATGCCTGCAATATAAGTATTTCCTGTGATAATGCATTATAACATAGTATATCTCCTATAAAAATTTTTATTTTTTTGTTATAAATCTAAAGTAAGTCTTTTTATATTAATTTTAGAAACTTGATATTTCCATATCTTTTTTTTATATTTCTACTGTCTAACTCTATAATTTAAATACTAATAGTACATATACTATAGTAATCTAATAGTTTTTTAGAGTTTGGGTATGGAAATATAAGAAAATATTAGATCTATAATTTTATTTATATTATAAAGTATAAATTTATATAATTAAATTTATCTTCAAGATGTTTCAATTTATCTACAAGTGGTTGTAAAAAGCTATTAAAGTCTTTTGGCGATTTTGAATCAGATATAATAGCAGCTATTATTAAATTTTCTTTCTTCACCCTTTGATTCAGAGGTAAGTTAGCATTCAAAATAAAATAATCCAGCAATCATTTTGCTTCTTTTTAAATAGTTGATAACCATCTGTAGATACAGTTAAAGCAATATTACAGAGATCTGTAAATAGACCTGATATGACCAAAGTCTTGTACCGGTTGCTATCAAAAACATCCCCAATTACACTATTTTTGAATATATAATCATTTTTTGATGCATATTCGTGCTGGTATTGAAAAATTTTTACACACAATGGATCATTAAATTGCATTCATAAGCTATCAATTATAAAAAAATAAGTAGCTGATTTTCTAGCTTTTTTTGATGTTTCTCCAGGTGTATATTGTGGTTCACCACAATTAGAATATACTTCACAGTTAATATTTTTTTTGGTAAATGTGCAGCAAGAATTCCAACACATATCTATGAGTTTTGGCTCAAGTAGAATTAAAGATTTAAAAGTGCTTTGAAGTTTAAATAGAGAAACTCTCTGAATTTTAGATATCTTTATAATTTCATTAAATGCTTGATCTGGCAAGAAGTACTTATTTTTAAGGTATAGAAGCTGAAGTCCCTGAATTTAGTTATCTAATAAGTCTTAAAAAAAAATTCTTATTAATATTGAATATTTAAAAATAAGGCTTGTTTCTAACGAGCTTTTAATTAATTAGATCAAAGATAAATTCAAAACTTGATCGATTAATTACTTTATTACAGAAACATATTTACCAATATCATTTCCTTTTTCTAGTTCATATTCTTGTTCTTCTAGTTCATATTCTTGTTTATCTTTTTCTAATTCAACCTCTAATTCACGAAGATCATTATTTTTTAGACTATTAAAAGCTGTAAAAAATAAAGACTTCTGTTCTCCTGTTTCTTCAGAATTATCTAGTTCCAATTCATTCTTTTCAAAGCAATACAATCCCAATTCACTCTCTTCAATATCATCTGATCCTAATTCATTTTCTGACAAACTAGAAATTATCACTAAAGGGTTCATTGATATGAACGAAGAATTAAAACTGTGATTTGTCATTTCTGATCTATTACAATGTTCTATATTGTTGCTGTATATATTTAAATTTTGAATATTTATTAATGAAGTGGTAGTAG